ACATACATACATACATACATACATACATACATACATACATACATACATACATACATACATGTATATATATATATATATATATATATGATACCAAACATGTCTCAATCTATAATGATGTACAGACTATATATATATAATACCAAACACGTCTCAATCTACAATGATGAACAGACTACATATAAGTAATATCAAACACGTCTCAATTTACAATAATAAAAAGTATTGGACATGTGAGGGATCACTTCACAAGGGTGTGCGAACGAGCATACCCTCACAAGACAGACACCACTTGACTTTGAAAGGTTTCCACAGACTGAGACATTTAAATGCTCAAGCGTACATACTTGGATGGCACAGGTGATCTCAGTAGTCGCACTCTGCACAACCTCCGACATCGATGCCACCAGCTGCGACAGCACAACTATACACTCTTCTTGCACTTCCATTTCATCTGAGCGCAGCAGCGTGTCTGGGGGAGACCGTGGTTGCAGCACAGGCAAGACGCGTGACATGAACATCGAATGGCAAGGAATTAGTACGACAGCACACTCACAATGCGATCGCACTTCGTCTGGGGGCGTGCAACTAGTCTTGTGCGAAGAGTGAGGTGAACCATCGTACAGGCACAGTGTGTTGGTGAATGCTACAGATTAGTGTATCAGTGACAGTCGCTTAGGCTCCGGTGCGTTCAGGGGTGGAAATATCCGTCTAACGCATACGACATACAAAGACAAGAGGTCAGGGGACGTAAGGTACGCCCCAAGGTTATGCACCACAGTTGTACAGTTGTTCTGGGCCAGACTCGGTACAATGGTGTGGTCAGGAGACTCCGATGCGCAATCGCGCAAGTAGAGTGGAAACTACGAAGATCACAGACATCAGATGGGGCCATAATCATTAAGCTCTTTACGTATAAACGCACACACACTCGGATGTAAATATATTACAGGGTTCAGAGTAAATCCACTGAACAGGCGGGTCGGATTGAAGCGATGCCAAACATACCATTAACCGATGCAATCGCATAGAACCGGCGCGAGGACAGCACGCACGTGCTCATCAGTCCCATCACCGCGTGCAGATCCGCAGGCGACACGCGTGCACGCACATGCACCAGCCGCAGGGCCTTTATAAGGGCCTTGAAAGACCCCTCGTCATCCACCACAGGCGCACCCGCGTGGTCAGACATCCCCTGCGATTCCGCCGACAGTGTGCCCAGGTGCATGCCGTCGGTGAACGCTTGGCGGATCACGCCGCGTGCGTCGCACAGCAACAACACGCACGCCGAAATCAGCGTGGCCAGAGCCGCGTGGTCGTGCGTGGCTGTGGGGTGCGCGCGCTCAGCTGGCCCCGTTGCTTGGCTGGGTGCCTGGGCCTGTGCGGGTGGGTTGGGTGTGGTGTACATGTGTATGTCTTCGTCACGCGGCGTGCTGAGTGACCTGTGGAAGTCGTGGGACCGCTGCACACACGCGATGAAGCGCGCGTTGAAGCTCCTGTACGCGTTGGCGGCGCCGTTGTGCACCATGAACGCGGTGGCTGAGAAGACTATGTCGGCCAACACACTGATCACCTGTTGCACCGCGCCGATGCACAGCTCCAGCTCAGTCACCGGATGAAGCGTGGTATCGTCTAGAGGGGTCATGGCGCCCTGTGTGTGGAGGTGCGTGTGAGAACGGACCTGAGCTTGTTGCGGATGCTCAGGGTTTTAGAGTTTTAGGGTTTTAGGGTTGCTAGCCGCACACCACATAGGACAACTCAGGAACGGTTTATCGGCGCAGTGAGGTATTGGCGTAATGCACTGCACGCCAGAGCAGGCGTTAAATGGCATAATACACTGCTAATGCTAACATAACACACAGCTAATGCTAATATAATACATGGCTAATGCTAATATAATACACGGGTAATGCTGATATAACACACAGCTAATGCTAATATAATACACAGATAATGCTAATACAATACACAGCTAATGCTAATATAACACAGCTAATGCCAATATAACACACAGCTAATGCTAATAAAATACACAGCTAATGCTAATATAATACACAGCTTATGCTAATATAATACACAGCTAATGCTAATATAATATACAGCTAATGCTACTATAATACACAGCTAATGCTAATATAATACACAGATAATGCTAATAAAATACACAGCTAATGCTAATCTGATACACAGCTAATGCTATTAAAATACACAGCTAATGCTAATGTTATAGTATTCCTAGGATACGTAGTGGCAACGTACAACGGCGAAGCAAGATCATATGCGACAATGTAGTGAGTCAGTGCCACAACACGTCTGTGTTATAGACTACCCTAAAACCCTAGACTACCAGTGTAGCAGAGGGGTCACCCTGTCCGTGGGCTACGACGCTACACTATCTGAGGGCTCCTTAATAAACAACCGATCTCATGCCACAGACGCAGAGGCGGAAATACAGTCTCTGGCTGACCAGTAGAGTGGTAGCTGGGGGTACACCATATTTGGGAATAAGATCTGTTTCGAGCAATAAGCACAGCTTTTGACATCGATTTAAAGCGCAACTGTGGTGTGCAGTTACCAATACACCAACGTCTCCTCGGCAACCACAGATTCAACACTGCACTAGACTATAAATAGCTACAAAGAGCGAACACACCATTTCGGAAACGACACGGCGCAGAGTAAGTGCGCATTTGCATTTGCATCGGCGTACAGGCGCCGACTCAACACTCACCGGTGAACGGAAGTGTATAACTCCAGAGATACTAATTGCTAAGACTTTCCAGACGAACCCAATAATTATTATGTTTGTAGCAGACGCTCCGTATACTTCTCAACTCCAACCAGCTGCATCTCAACGCACCCCACATAACCTACGTTTTCCCGAACAGTATTCAAACAGAACCCAAACAATCCATACCTGCTGAGTGTATAAACCCTCCAGTGTTTCGTACTGCAGCTGCACCGCCTCCGCGGCCAACCCCGCTACGTGCGTTTCCGCCAAAAGCGCAGACACAAACGCCCTCAGAGCGTACGTCGCCTGTATGTCGTCATGTGCCAAGTCCAAGTTGCCGTAGACCAGCACTTTCCTCAGCAGATACAGCTCAGGTGATATACTGCGTGTAGGTGTGCCTGCCGACTCATGGCGTGGTGTGGCGCTGGATGGGACGCTGTGGAGCGCTTGGACGGCCTCTACCATGTTAGCGCGGGAGCTGCCCAGCCATTGGATAAGCGCGGATTCTGATTCTCTGTAGGGTTGTAAGGGAGATATATAAAATACTAAAAATAAATCTGTATCCAAATTCAACAGAATCTGGTGGAGTATACAACACGTGGGTTTAGATATATACTTATATATATATATATATATATGTGTGTGTGTGTGTGTGTGTGTGTGTGGTGGTGGTGGTGTGTGTATATAT